TAGTAACTGGTTAATATGCGACAGGGATAGTTATTTTGCTATGAAATAAGGAAAATTTGCTGTGCAGTCAGTATTCATTCTATGTATGCAGTATTTTTGTACAAAAAACAAATTTAGCTGTATTGCATTATAAGGAAAAAATTTACAATTACGAATTATCTGCAGTTTGAGTTTTGTAAAACATTTAGTTTGTTTGTAGTGAAGTAAATTATTTGATGTAAAAAAGAATATAAATGATGAGTATGTATTGATAGGCGATTATTTATTTGATATAACATAAAGGTTATAGTTCATAAAGGTAACGACTGATGTTGTTAGTTGTACATATGTAGTTAATGGATAAGTACATAGTTGTTATAAGTTTTTATATTAAGTTTTTATTTAAGTTTTTTTTATTAATACTAATTATAAGTTTTTACATTAAGTGACAACATTATCGCATTGGGTGTAACCTGTTAGGATGTGTTGAATTAAATAAAAATAAAAAATAAAAAAAAAATAAAAAAGATATGCATTATGCAATTTATAATATCCCTTAAAGTATTGAGGGCAGGTTTACAAAAGATAAAAAAATTAGTGCTCGGTGTTACATACATGTCACAAATATGAAACCAATTTTAGACAGAGTGCTCTGAGGAATTGTTTTATCTGATACCTACTTCGTCTTTTCGCCATCGACGCTCACAACAGCACATCCACCCCCATCATATAGATGGTTGGCAGGCCACAACTGTGCGCTTCTCTCGTAGCTTTCTGCCTCGCACAGCAACACTGTGGAATGATGAGAATACGTTATCCTTTTTAAAAGGCCGGCAACGCACCAGTGTCTTCTCTTGAGGATAAAAATGCTTGGAGGCAAGCTAGTCCGGCTCCACAGGATAACGAAAAACATTTATGTTTTAATGAAATCCAAACATGTAAATAATACAGCTATGTTGCTCATTTGTATATTGTTTAACTTACATAATCATTGTAAAAGTGAGAGCCCTGTAATAAACTAATTATTAAATTAGAATAGGGAGAATATATTTGTGTCAGCTTGGAGTTATCATGCCCACTCTAAGGTCTCATTGGCGGTGGCACGTGCAGTGGGTCGCTCGATTCCCTACAATGTGGTTGAGTTGGGCGGTGCTGGTGTACGTGTCATGTTCGTGAAGGGGCGCCGTCAACTGGGACTGGTCACCTCCAGACTGTATTTTTTTTACTGTCCTTTAGGGTTATTTTATTTCGATCTCTTTGACTGTATTTTAGTGTTACATTATTCTCGCACAATCCAAACAACCAAACTATGTAACTAGAGAATTACCTCTATATTGTGAACTTAATTGAAAAAGAGTAGGTAACCTATGGAGTTTCTTGCTCGTTCTTCTCCACACCGTGGAATGAGCAAGTAGCTTCACTTTTAAATTTGTTTTTGTTGACGTTCGAAAGTGCCTTTCTGATCTAATTGAAATAAATGATTTTAAATTTGACTTTGACGTTAGAGTTGCTGGTGTCCATGGGCGGCGCTAACCGATTACTATCAGGTGATCCGCCAGCTCGTGCGCGTGCTTTTCCATATAAAAAACTTGGATTTACCTAGAGGTATAGCGCCGACGTTGCTAACACTTATTCAGATTCTTACTAAAAACATAGTTCTTCTTATATCTTAGAATTTCGATAATTCAGTCCGCACAACAGAAAACCGTCGTGGAACAACACTTGCGATGTGTTTTGTCGTATGAGTGATGTTACTGGAGGCTCAATTACCCCCCACCCCAATCCTCAATATCCCCGATCACTGAATTCCTAAAAGTTCTCAAGTTCCTAATCTCTCAAAATTTCCCACAGTTTCTTGTTATTTTTACCTGCGTTGTTTATTCTATCTTTTTCATGTGATTTGTACTTTCTTAAGAATGTTGTTGCAGAAGGTTCTGTATCTTTTATATGTTACTTGCATAATGTCATCGTTAGGGTTTCTTTTCGACTTTTTATAGAGGTTATCCCGATTTCTCATGCACCTCAGAAGACCAGGAGTAATCCATGGCTTCAGGATATGTTTGCGCCTAGTAGTGGTAACTAGTCTGGTATTGTGATCAAGTGCGTGATTGAAAGTGGATATTAAATAGTCCGTGGCTTGGTTGACATCCAACATCTCGTACATTGGTGTGAAGTCGATACTTTTAATAGCGCTTTCAAGACCATCTATATTTATTCGCTTGTGTTGGTGTTTCAGACGTTTATTATTTATTTTTGTTTTCATAAAAAGTACTACACACTCATGGTCTGTTATGGATGAATTTGGAACATAGCAGTGCGCGGTTAGTTTGGTTTTCAAAAGTATGTGGTCTAAACAAGCTCGGCCATGTGTTGGGATGTTGTGCCCTGGTAGCATACCATGAGAACTAATGAGGTTAAGATAAACAAGTGATCTATGGTCTTGATTGTCTGCAGCAATATCAATGTTCAAATCACCAACTATAACTATATTTTTAAATGTTAAATAACTGCGTAGACAATCGTCGAGCGATTTTAGGAAATTGTCTATATTATTGTAGCTGGGTGGTCGGTAGATCCCGAAAATTATAGTGTCTGCATTTAATTTAAAGATTAAGCAGTTGGTATCTAGAAAATCTGGCTCAGTACACGTCGCGTCAATTCCATTCCTATAGTAAATCACAACCCCTTCGTTCTGCGTCTTATTTTTGTTAGTACAGGAGTAATTATACCCGTCCATATGTGGGATGTTAGGATTACGCGATAGCCAGCACTCGGTCAAAACAGCGACATCCCAATATATTCTTGACCTATTAATTAATGTTTCAAAGTTAAAAGTTACAGTTTAAACTCCGGATATTTTGCGATATAACTTTTAGATTGATTGCAGTATTCAACTCCATCTTATAGCAACTATCTATACTGCAAGACTCCAGATTGGGCTACCGATATGGAGTCGAGGTCATTATTGATGTTATTAGCGAATTCAGCCATATTTGTGAGGAAATAATAATATGGTGCATCTAAGTGAAAGCATACAGAGCTTTTTCATATTAAATATGCACGTATATGTATACAAATATGCACGTATATGTATACAAATTTTATTTTATTTATTATTTATTTTCGTATATATATTAAATATTGATTCTATTTCTGCAGCTCGACCCCACAACAAAATTCCGTACGACATAATGCTTTGGAAATAACTAAAATAAACAAGCCTTACTGTATCTACGTCCGTGAGCTGCCTAATTTGTCTAACTGCAAAAGCAGCTGAGCTCAATCTCCCCGAGAGTGCCTTTATATGCGGACCCATTGTAGCCTATTGTCTAACGTAATGCCTAAAAATACCGTCTCGTCAACAAATTCTAACTTTTGACCGTTCAAAACAATATCACAATCGTTACTACGCACGTTTGGTAAAGTGTAACACATTTGGTTTTTTTCACATTTAGTGCTAGATTGTTAATGGTGAACCAATTATGCACTTGAAAAATGGAGCTTTTTACGTCGTCAAGATTATTTGTACGTCGGTCTATTTTAAAAATTAATGATGTGTCATCTACAAAAAGCACCATTCTTGGTTCAGTTTTAAATATAATTGGCAAATTATTTACGCATATTAAAAAGAGAAAGGGACCGAATATTGAACCTTGAAGAACGCCCATATTCATCCCAGAGCCGCGAGTTAATACCGTTAACAAGAATCTTTAACTGTCTTTCTTCTAAATAAGATTTCATTAGACGGAGCGCAGAGTTTCTTATCCCGTAGTGATCTAATTTCAGCGTCCGCTAAAAGTGTCTCTTGGTAAACGCAATCAAATGCCTTTGCGAGGTCACAAAATACACCAATAGTATCCTGTGCACCAAACCACCAAACCACCTCCCAAGCACCAAATATTTCCTTAATCAAAGTGACAGCGGCGTCAGTTGTGCAACGACCTTTAGTGAAACCGTATTGTTGTTGGTGAAAGATAGATTGATAATAAAAGCATCCGATACAGCATCAACTTTTCAAAACGTCTGTTTTGCCGGTTCTCAGCAAAGTCTTTGAGCCGGGTGGCCTATAGTTTTTAGGTTCTTTAGTGTTACCACTTTTAAATAGTGAGATATGTTTATTATATTTGATTAGGTCAGGGAAAACACCGTCATCTATACATTTATTGAAAATTACAGCCAGATATGGCGCTACAGTTTGAATCAGTGGCTTCCAAACTTTTACCGACAATCCCCAAAGATCTTCCGTTGATTTTGTCTTGATTTCTTTAAAACTTTTATAATTTCTAGGATTCGTATATCGAAAACCAAAGCCGTGTTGACATGATTCTATGTTGTTCTTAAGCAAAGTTACAGAGAGGTTTGCTGATGACTTTAAATGTTCAGTTGGCTTGATAGGAATGTTGGTAAAAAAAATTTCAAACTCATGGGCTACATCTACTTTTTTTATTTAGTTTAATATTTTTATTTTTTACTTTTTAGTTCAGTGCTAAGCTATATACATAACCATCGTAAGCCGAAAGAGCAGTCCAAAGCCAATTGTTCAGAATTATAAGAATCCAATTGAAATAATTTTGCTACCCTCTAATCATGGCTTGTGATAATATTTGGGGCCAAAATACCGACTATTTGATGACATTTTCCTTCAAGCTAAATCAATATTATTAAATTTTTTGATGTCATTTAATAGCATTTTAGAAGTTTTCTGTAAGAATGCATGCTACGATTAATTTAGATGCTTAAAAACAATATTATGCCGAGGTGTGATAAGAGTGGTCTACTTAGAAGATAACTAGTCGCTAAGATAGAATTATTTGGATGCTCGTTAATTTATTATCATTCATTACCCACACCCAGGCGGGAGCAGTCATTCGATGATTTTCCCACCTTAAACCCCGAAAACAAACACATGACAACGAACACGCTGCTCTCCACGTCTAGTAGTTTCGGCTGTGCATTGTCTGTCAGTCATTGTAAATGTATATTATGTAATCGTGCAGTTAATAACATGAGTAATATTGCAGAAAGGCGCAAGTGGCGAAGATGACATTTACGTTAGCCTTGTTTCTATCGTATCCACTACAAAACTTCGTGGCGTGGCAAATCATATGGCGTAAATCAAGAAAAAAATTTCACATAAGCTACAGACATATAGCAGATTATTTAATACGTTTTGTGGTCGCCACCTTACCCTGTGAGTATTTCTATGCATACCATTTGTCTTTGGTTAGCAGCGGTTATTTTGAAGTCTGTATGACATTAAAGGGACTTTCATTCATTTTGAAGTTTTTAACAAAACAACTTTAATAACGCAGCGTAAATATATACATTTTTTAATTATTATATAGTCGCGGGACTAGGCGGACGTATTTTCTGTTTTAGATAAAAATGAAATAAGTAATCACAACAAATAAATATAATATTATTGCTCCGTCAGTATAAAATAAAAGTGTGTCGCGTGTGATGTGGATGAACTAACTTGTGTACTTACACATGATGAACTAAATAGATCTTTATAAAGTATAAATAGTGTTTCCAGGTAGTATGTCTACTCCCGGAGCGAGCCCATTTGGTCGTAGCCAATTAAATAAATAATTTAAAAATAATCTACCAGACGGACATTAAAATAAAAATTAGTCATTTATCATGGAGCATACCCAATAGGGTCATTGGGAATGCTTCATTTGGTCAAAATTGTCACTACGGGAAACGAAATAGCGTCACCGGAGTAGTCTTAATACATGTACTGTGACAATTCACGACAGTGGTTGCCAAGCCCTCTTTCTGTACATTCTGTTCATAGTTCATACACTCCTGTACCGTAAAGCTCGCCTTACAATTTTTCATCTCCATCACCAACTTACGCACCATCTTTGCGACGAAATGTGTATGTACCGCGAAATTGAACTACCCGTCGTGTAGAACCTAAAGGGTTACCGGGACTCCAGCTGGACGTGCAGGAGAAGGAACGGGGTGGTTATTAGTCAATAAGAGTCTGACACTCCCTCCCGCCTCACTCAGGCGGAGCAGACATTCGTTGATTTCCCCCCCTTAACTCGTTGAGTACCGTCATTATAGACACAATTAAAGAACAATAGGTTGCGGTCACAGGTGACCTCGCGGTGTTTGACAGTTTAAAAAAAAACCCGATGTGTGCCAGAAGGTAGATCTAAGCGAGACAGGGCATTTTCTATTGTGTCTTATATACCAGCAGACAAGAGGATAAAAGTCGATCCTCAGTAGTAGTGATTCGCCGGTTCTGGCTCACGCGTTTGACCAGTCAAATCCGGGCGAATCAGTCGCACCAATCCTAAAAAAAAAACAGGTTTTGGCATGCTCTGATCACGTTTCTGCAGTCCTTTTTAGCGTAGGATGCGTGGTTCTGGAGTTATGCAAATCAATTGCAAATCCATTTATTGTTATCTCATTCATTTCCGGTGGTCCTGACCCTCATCAAGGCTCCATTGTTCTTATCTATACTTCGAACACCCTTTTGACGTTCTTATCTATTACTCACTGTTAACCCTCATTATCTTTCATTTCCTATGTCATCAATAAAACACAATCATTCATTTTTATTTTCTAATTTTATTACTTTTTTCTACAAAATATGAGTGGAACATCTCATCCACAAAAATATCATTGTACAGTGTGTTCCCTGTAAATATGTTCGTAAAACTATGTATTGAACATCCCTGAAACTTAAATAGCAAATACATTAAGCAATATTCACCACAAACTGAAGTCCAATCATTCTGAATCCTATCAACATTCCAGTCCCATCTCTTACAATTCCTTTTCAAAAACTGAAGATGATATCGCTCAGGTGTTCGTCCATATGAATCAAAATATTGACCGATGCCATTCGCATCGATATGTACAGCTATCCAGTGTGACCCTGGATTATCATCCGCATCCAAATTGCATATTATATACGTTGGTACATGTGTATACATAGGTAGTCTATTAGCAGCATAAACATTATTTTCTAGACTGGGATGAATCTTTTTCATATGTTTTTTTAATTCTAGTGTATCCATGATATCACTGTTATTAGCAGTTTATTGCAGTACCAATCTATTCAATGGTTGTCATACGAATGTTCAATTATAGTGATTTGTAAATATTAAATCGCATTCTTTTGGGAATCACAAAACAAGTTCATGCCTGTTGCGATGTGCGATAAGTTTGTTGACTCATAAAGTTCAGATAAGAATGGTGCTATATAAGATCGAACAGTTGCAGTCATGCAGTCAGTCTATGGTCGTTTGACCACAGTGGATTGTGTACGTCTACCAATACTACGTTTGTGTTACTTACTTCAACGCATCAATGGTCATGGAGGTAAGTGTTTATTCTATTGACAAACTTACTTGTATTTCTGTTGTTGTTTCCTAACGTGTCTGTGTGTGTCAGATTAAGTGTAAACAAATTGTAATATTAACGTGATAACTCTGTTGTTGCAGAGATCATTCAACTTCGCAGACGATAATGAAAATACCTATAAACAGTATTACTACTCGCCACTCTCTCCACAACACGAAGAAGAGAGTGATGACATCGTCGTTAATAACACAGACGATGGAGGAAAAAGGAAATCGCAACCAAAAATAAAAAGGGAGAAGCTGCTATTGTCGACTGTGGCACGAGCTGCTAGAGATGGCGTATCATACATCTCTACAAATTCTGAAAACGGAGACCAAGCGACGCATCTCATAAAAATTGAAATGTATGATATGAAGAAACTATCCAAGATTCCAATTAGTGATCACTGGAAGCACGCTACCACGAGGATTAAATATTACGTAAAGAATAATAAGGATAGCATCTACGACAACACAAACGGTCTCGTATACAATATTACAAAGACAATAGCAGAAAGTGAAAAAGTTAAAAAATACTTTTTTAACAATGACACTCATTAGTGGATTAGTGAATGTGATTCTGTTTACTTAAAGTACTTCTGTGTACTCATTAGATTTTTACATGACTTTCCTAGCAAAGGGCTAGACTATAAATATTGGACATTATTTGAAATTTGGCATCAGTTGCTCTACCAACACTTAACTGTTACTTACTGTGCTACATACTTTCTTCTTTATTATAAAAATGGAAAACTTCAGTGAAATATGCATCAGTTCTTTCTTTTCCGCACCCATTGAGGAGAATATAGAACAATCCAACAGTGAATTCAATCAGGAGCTGTCTAAAGTTTGTGATGAAATAGAGAAGCGTGAACTGTTCAATTCATCGTATGATGATGAGTTGTATAATCAATGTTTGATGGTTGAAACAACGTTGAAGTAAGTATTAGAAGTACAAACTCAATAAGAAATATTATTGTATTAATGTTTTATTTTAAGATTTGTCTAATAATTTTCTTTTTTGTTACAGTCAACAACAAGTTGGAAGAGGTATCAAACAAGGTATCATTACCGATGAAAATAAGGTTACCAAGAAAGCAAAATTTGACGAAGGAGCTTCTACATCATCAATTGAAACCAATGACGTTGACAACAATAAGGTGGAATGTGATACATGTCATGTTTATATTAATAAAAGGTATTTAAACAACCATTTAAAAAGCAATACACATAAAAATAATCTTTTAAAATCACATAATTCATTAACAAATGTTACAGTTGTTGAAACAGCTTTTGGCAATCGAATTTTAACATATAGAATTAATAGTAAAACACATCAATCGGGGCAATATTTTGAAACACCGGAATCGTTTCTAAATTCATTAAAAATCGATATCTTATTTTTGATAAATGAATGTATTCAACAACATACAATTTTTAAAATAAACTTCGTATTGCATGCTGAGTTCATACAACAAACTAAAGATATTAAAAATACGTTTGATTTGTTTAATTACATAATATGTCAAGGAGATGACTTAAATATTTTTTATTCATCATTAATAGACACAGTAGTCGGTAAAATTTGTCAATTTGAAAAAAAAGATAGTGGTTGGAGTCTTAATCAAATTAAATACATAGATATGAATGTTAACAAATTCAACCCCCTACGTGGTAGTTCTTATATCAACCTTCCTCAAGATATTAAATAAAAAAAGCTGTAATCAATGTTAAAAATAATGATAATATGTGTTTCAAATGGGCATTACTCTCCGGTTTATGTCCTTTTTATTTATCAAAATGTCGTACACCTAATCATATTAACCTACTATATATATCGAATGGTACTAACAATCATTACTGTTATATTAAAAACTTATCGCGATTAGTTAGTTCACAAATATCAAGACAACGTCATGCAGTTTATATATGTGATTCATGCTTACTTCATTTCCCATCAAAGGAAAGACTTAATAACCATCAACAATATGATTGCGCTCACATTTGTACGGAATTACCAAACGGTGAGGATTCCAAAAAGGATTGGTTTGGTAAAGCAACCTCAAATAATAAATTAAAATTTGATAAATTCGCGAAAAAGTTGGAAATGCCGTTTGTGATTTATGCAGACTTTGAGGCATTTTTGAATCCGATAGAATCATGTAGTAACGACCCATCCAAGCCCAGTACAATTAATATTCAAAAACATGAAGTGTATAGTTTTGGATATTACATTAAATGTTCATATGATAACAGATTATCAAAATATGAGACATATAGTGGGTCAAACTGTGCACAAGTGTTTATGAATCGCCTTTGTGAAGATGTGAAAGCAATAGTTAAAAAAAATACTTTCCATAAATGTCCCGTTCCATTATCAGATGAAGATAAAATTAAAATTTCAAATTCAAACATATGTCATATTTGTGAAACTGAGTTAAATGAAGATCTTTTTTACGATTTTGATTGGCACACTGGTAGTTTTAGGGGTGTTGCACATCAAGTGTGTAGTTCTAAGTACAGAGCCCCTCGTCATATCCCAATATTTTTACATAACCTCAGTCACTACGATGCTCATTTCATTGTCCATGCATTAAACCTCGATGATAACAAAGTTGAAGTTATTCCACAAAACAAAGAACGATACATATCATTTTCAAAACAGTTAACAATAAATAATCAACCAGTAAGTTTAAGATTCGTAGATTCACTGAAATTTTTATCGTGTAGTTTAGATCAACTAGCTAAAAATCTTAATGATGATCAGTTTACAGAATTAAAAAGGAACTATCCTAATAATGAAGATTTTTCACGTTTAAGACGGAAAGGTATTTATCCTTATGAATTTATGTGTAATAGTGATTGCTTGAAACATCCATCACTTCCTGATCAACACCAATTTTATAGTTCACTCACAGATTCAAATATTTCAAATGATGATTATAATCACGCAAAAGATATTTGGCAACATTTTAAGTGTAGTAGTATGTCTGATTATTCCAATTTATATTTAAAAACTGATGTTTTACTTTTGACTGATGTATTCGAAAACTTTAGAAAGCTTTGTATAAAAACTTATGGACTAGATCCTGCTCATTACTATACTGCCCCAGGTTTAAGTTGGGATGCAATGTTAAAATTTACAAAAATAGAATTAGAATTATTAACAGACTATGACAAAATTGCTTTTTTTAAAGCTGGTATTAGAGGGGGTATATCTCAGTGTAGCAATCGTTTTGCTAGAGCAAATAATAAATTCATGGAAGATTATGATAGCGAAAAACCTAATTCATATCTCACATATTTTGATGCGAATAATTTATATGGTTGGGCAATGTCTCAATCTCTTCCTGTTGGTGGTTTTGAATGGGTAGATTCTAATACAGATTATAATGTTTCGGATAACTCTGATTTCGGTTATGTTTTAGAAGTTGATTTGGAATATCCTGATGAACTTCATGATTTGCATTCTGACTTTCCGTTATGTCCTGAAAACATATGTGTGGGTAATACTAAAGAATCTAAATTAGTTCCTAATTTAAATAATAAAAATAAATACATCATTCATTACAGGAATTTAAAACAATGCGTTGAAATGGGGATTAAATTAATGAAAGTACATAGAATTTTAAAATTTAAACAGAGTTCTTGGTTAAAGAAATACATAGACTTAAATACTAGTTTGAGAACGTTAGCTACATCAAACTTTGAAAAAGACTTTTTTAAATTAATGAATAATTCTGTCTTCGGTAAGACTATGGAAAATATTGAAAAAAGAGTAAACGTTAAACTACTAACTCACTGGGATAATCGTGGTAAAGTTTTAGGTGCTCAGGATTGGATTGCAAAACCAGAATTCCATAGTTTATCAATATTTTCAGAACATTTAGTCGCAATACAACTACGGAAAACAAAATTAATTTATGACAAACCGATTTATTTAGGATTTTGTATTTTAGATATATCTAAGACCCTTATGTATGAATTTCATTATAACTACATGATTAAAAAGTTTCATAATAAAATTAAGTTATTGTACACCGATACCGATAGTTTGATATATCAAATTTTTACAGACAATTTTTATGAGGATATAAAACCAGATCTACTTCACTATTTCGATACATCAGATTACCCGGAAAATAATATTTACGGATATCCAAAAATAAATAAAAAAAAGTTAGGTTTTTTTAAAGATGAGAATAATGGTAAAGTATTGAAGGAATTTGTAGGGTTGCGATCAAAAATGTATGCCTTAGAAATAGAAGATAAATTTATAGCAAAAGCAAAAGGAGTTAACAAAAGTGTTACCAAAAAAATGAATATGGAAAATTACAAATCGTGTTTATTTAATAAAAATGTATTATATTGTAGTATGCTTCGATTTAAGTCAATCAAACACACTATTTTTACACAAAAAATAAATAAAACATCTTTGTCATATAATGATACCAAACGATGTATTATGGACAACAACATTGATACATTGGCTTGGGGACATTATAAATTACGTTAAGTGTGTATATACAAAATTTGTTTTGATTGCAAAATTATGATATTACTATAATATTATATAATAGTTTATTACATATTTAAAATTTATTGTTTGATTGTAAATAGTGCAAAAATAATTGTAGTTTTTATTTCTGATAAGTACTAAATGTATTAGAAATAGTATACAAAACATTCTGTTTTTCGCAAATTATATGTTTTAGGTATATAATTTTGTTAATATATAGTAATTTTACACCGACATTTTCATTTTTATTTCATCCCTTTAAAACTCTAGACGTGTGAAATGTATCACTTTATCCACCCGTTTACTGCTATTGTGGCAGGACCAAGTGGATGTGGGAAGTCAAATTTTGTAACAAATTTCATAAAATCAGTTAAAGAAATATGTAATTGTGATTTTAATCAGATCACATGGTGCTTTGATGAAATGCAACCTTTATATAATTTACCAAATGTTAACTATCATCAAGGAATTCCAAATCTTAATATGTTTGATGGTGAAAACCCACACCTTATTATTATTGATGATCTAATGAGAGAGTCTGATGGAAGAATTGTGGATATATTTACAAAAGGTAGTCATCACAGGAATCTTAGTGTATTTTATTTAACACAAAATTTATTTCATCAAGGTAAGGGTCAAAGAGACATTTCTTTAAACTCAAGTTATATAATTTATTTTAAAAACCCTCGAGATAAAACTCAAATAAGATATTTAGCACGTCAAGTGTCACCAGATAACCCAAAATTCATTGAAGACGCCTACAGGGATGCAACTTTCGAAGCGCATGGATATTTAATGATAGATTTAAAACAGAATACAAATGATTTTTGTCGTATCAAGACAAATGTATTCCCATTTAATGGTTACTGCACAGTCTATGTCCCCACGAAAGAGTTTAAATACACCAAGAATCAAACAATTCAAATCATTTCTAAATGATGCATCGTCGACTCACCACGCATAAACATTTGCTAAACGCTTTGCATACGCTTAAACCAAAATATCAAAGAGCGTTACTTAAAACGTGTGATGAAGAAGAAATAAATTGTATTTGTGAATGTATTCATAACGTTTTACAAGGAAAGATACCTCTCAAAGATCAAGATAAACAAAAATTGAATAAACACAAAAATATACTCCGTAAACTGGTGCATAAGTGTACACATAAACTAAGAAAAAATATTATTATACAAAAAGGAGGGGCTTTCTTACCAATAATATTAGGTGCAATATTGAGTGGATTAGTAAGTGGACTAGCCAGTTAACATGGAAAATGCTAAGAAAATGATACTTATTGAACCTGGATTGATTGAAAAATTAAAACAAGAAAATAAGGTTACTAGTAATTTGTCTCGACTAGATATTGAAATGCAAAATATTATGAATAGTAAGACGGAAGACCGAAAGAAGTGGATGTTATATTTACAAACACTACAAAGATACCTTCACTTTACCGAAGAGGATCGTCAACCACTCAGATTACCAATTTATTCTGATACATCTAATGAAGATTCAAATGGATCTAAAATTGGTTTTAAAAATAAAGATAGTGATCTAAAAAGTTCAGTTGATGCTGAATCTTTGTTAGAGGAGAAAGGATCTATTAAAAGTATAGAAAGTGAAGCAAATCCACTGTATTCACCAACACAAATACTCAGTTTAATTCCAAAAACTTATAATAAAAAAGGTGAGTCATTATTAAACTTAATTGGAATAAGTAAAAGTAAAATACGTTGGGACAATGAAGGCACAGTCATAATTGATAATGAAAAAATTCCAGGAAGTAATATTGTTGATTTAATAAATGATTCACTTAGACCCTTAAAAAAAAGTGATCCGATAGGGTGGGATAGATTTGCTAAAGCATTAAAAGATATTAAAGTACCACTTACTTATATTGGAAATCCAAAGAGATGTGAGTTTATTAACCAACTACAAGCAAAAGATCTGAACAAAACCTCTGAGATTGAAGTTCAAGAGTTTTCTACACCGAGCAGTGGAGATAAAAGATCTATAACTAAAATACGTAAAAAGATCGATTGGGAAAAATGGACCCCGTACTAGAAGAAATTAACAGGATTTATTATGATCCATCTAACCCTGCTGGTTTTGGTAGTATTGATAAATTATCAAAAGCTATGAAGGGGAAAATGGATAAAAAGCAAGTAAAGGAATGGTTACAATCACAAGAAACATATACACTACATAAACCCATTCGGAAAAAATTCCCGCGTAATAGGTACATTCTATCAAACATTAATGAGTTGTGGCAAGCTGATTTAAGTGATATGCGAACTTATGCTCAATATAATGATGGTTTCAACTACATACTTTGTGTTATTGATGTATTTAGTAAATATGCTTTTGCAAGACCAATGAAAAAGAAAAACTCAGAAACAACTAAAGAATGTTTTGAAAGTATATTTACTGAAAGTAATTCAACACCTACTCACATACAATCTGATAAAGGTACAGAATTTATTTCAAAAGATGTACAAAAATACTTTAAATCCAAAAAGATAAATTACTATACCACTAACAATCCTGATATTAAGGCTAGTATTGTTGAACGATTTCAAAGAACTCTAAAAATGAAAATGTGGCGTTATTTCACTCATAATAATACTTATAGATATATCGATGTTTTACAAGATTTAATATACTCTTATAATCATAGCATTCACTCGAGTATTAAGATGTGCCCATGTGATGTAAGTTCCAACAATATTATGACAGTTTGGACTAATCTTTATGATAGAGGATCAAACAAACTTTCTTTAGAAAATTCTAAACCAAATTTCAACGTGGGTGATTATGTTCGAATAACTAAATATAAACATGTTTTCCAAAAAGGATATGAATCAAATTGGAGTGATGAAATATTTATTATATCTTCAATAATTGATAGATCTCCAAAGTCACGGGCAAGTGCTGAAAATCAGCGCCGCGACTCGACCACACTCGTGTCGCGGCATTTAAGCTGAGCTCTGGCCTTTTTGCGCCGTCTTTGTTATATTGTTTTATATTTTTGTTATTGTACCTTGTGACGGTGTGCAAATAAACTATTTTTCTTTCTTCTTTCTTCTTCTAATGTATTTGCTATTTAAGTTTCAGGGATGTTCAATACATAGTTTTACGAACATATTTACAGGGAACACACTGTACAATGATATTTTTGTGGATGAGATGTTCCACTCATATTTTGTAGAAAAAAGTAATAAAATTAGAAAATAAAAATGAATGATTGTGTTTTATTGATGACATAGGAAATGAAAGATAATGAGGGTTAACAGTGAGTTATAGATAAGACGCCAAAAGGGTGTTCGAAGTATAGATATGAACAATGGAGCCTTGATGAGGGTCAGGACCACCGGAAATGAATGAGATAACAATAAATGGATTTGCAATTGATTTGCATAACTCCAGAACCACGCATCCTACGCTAAAAAGGACTGCAGAAACGTGATCAGAGCATGCCAAAACCTGTTTTTTTTTTTTAGGATTGGTGCGACTGATTCGCCCGGATTTGACTGGTCAAACGCGTGAGCCAGAACCGGCGAATCACTACTACTATCCTCATCTAAACCTAAGCCTAGGCTCGTTATCCACTCAGTAACCAATATCACACCTTCCTATTTATCTACCCAACAAAACCCCATGCAAGACTATCCCGTGACCTTTGATTATACAGGGTTACAGGTTTACAGGTTAAGTCGACCTAAATCCTTTAAGAAGTGGTAGTATGCATCATTCCTGACCGATTTGGTTAAGGAACCCATATCCCAAATTTAATTGTTCTCAATATCGAAGTACCTTCGAATTTCTTTTATAAAAATTCCAGGTTTTGATCGATTGCACCCTTTTTATGTTTTGTGTCTAAATATTCTGATTTTTGCTATTGATGTGTAGAAGATTAGGTACTATATGTTTTGTTTATCATTTGAAACCGTAAAATTGCAAGTGACTAATGACTATAGTGACTATACTAACAGAGGCAAAGTAGACGCAGCATTATTGTAACACAAATAAGTTGATGGTAGGTAAAGCTTTGTTTTCTTAGTAAGATATTTTATAAAAATTCTGCAGATGTTTGATAAAATATGTATTTACGATTTCTCCGCTTACTAACCAAGTATGCTAGGGTAAATTTAGAATTCTCGAAATAATTTTGAAGTAGCGTGTTAGTTCAATAAATAATAAAATCATTACTTCATTTTTAATTTAGGTACAAGACAGTGAGATTTTTTGGTTATTTTTACTTTTTTTTATGAGAAGAGAATATGGAAAAATTACCTAATTGGCAACACTGATAAAATATGTAGCAATTAGTTAGGTCAAAAACATTAATTGTATATTCTAATTTTTAAATATGATGGATGGCGATGGATAGGTGATCTGTTTAGTACATTTTTACAATTTTATGGAGAATAATTATATAACTAAGAATAATAATAATACTTTTTGTTTACAAATTTATTTTATAGCGTACTTGCACGTGGTGACGGCGTGACGCCTAGGTGACACGATTGATACCTACTACTTGACGGGAAAGTGCATCGCAGTGAACAGTGCACTGCAAATTTTTGGGCCGCATTTCGTGAACTGACACTCCATCTAGACATTATAATTATAATCAAAGCCCGTGACTAGTGTAGAAGATAATGAAGCTGAACAATTTTTAATTCACTAGTCTGAAGGTTTCCAAAAGAATTTGGATATGTTCATAATGATTTAAAAATTAAATTAGTAAATTATGTGTAAACAGGTATTTGTTTAAAAATAAATACCTACGTAGTTACATACATTCGTTTTTACATTAAGTCAAGTAAAATTTCTAATGTGAAAGAAAGGAAACGAGATATTGCAAAAAAACCTTTTTGCAATATCTTGGTTTTTGGCCGCTATTTTTCCAAGATGGCGGCGCGAGCGGCGCACGTACAAAAGTGTAAAATGGAAATTGAAAAGAGCACATCAAAATTTCCAAGTAACCCCGATGTTTCCTACTTAATTATCGCTATGTTCCCAGGCTCGCTTTTTTAAACGTAAGCGAGGGCTGAATGTGCACATTGGACGTGTTCACAAATCTCAAAGTACATTCAGCCCCGTTACCGACACTACTCCACTTTTTTTGACAGACCCCTTTTGAACAGATTATCAATATTTAAATGTATCCCTGGTGCTTAAACGTGTTCCCGGTGGTGCCAGACCTTTAGTTGCGCAACAGTTAGCAAATTATGTACGTCTGGCAACACAGGAGAACTCGTTACGCGCCTGGGAACAACTTCTCACCTTCCCTTACCAAATCTTGCATGTTTAAAAGAATTTGCTTCTTCTAAATTCTTTAACCACACAAATTAAAGAAAATTGCATTTCGGCTTCCCAATTCGACCCAAAATTGCCGACCGATTTGGTTACAGCTACAGCTGTGCCTTAACCAAAACTTTAGCTGATTTAGTTGAGGCCAAAATAGGTGAAGGTGATATTATTAGCGGCGCAGCCAGAATTATTGTCAGCAACGACGTACTGGCCCCATGTTCTCCAGATTCGCTTAAAGCGCTGGAGAACAAACACCCGGCCCCAGTAGATGGTCTCTCTTTTCCAGATCCTCCTGAAGCAGATATTCATACCCTATCTGTTACAGGTCGACAAGTGGTCACTGCCATAGGTTCCTTCCGGAGCGGTTCTGCCGGAGGTCTCGATGGTTTGACGCTGCAGCATCTGAAAGATCTGACGAGCTAAAGCGCCGGGGAGTCCAGCGTGGCGCTGCTGAAGGAGCTTACGGTTTGATCAATCTTATGCTCTCCGGCATGTGCACAAATCCGTCATCGATGTTTTGTGCGGGGCCAATCTATTTGCCACGTATACGCAAGAAGGATGGCGGTATTCGTTCCATTGCCCTGGGAACAACTTATCGTCGTATGGCATACCGCCTGACAAAGGTCCTCACCGGACATGGAGGTTTCGGGAGGTACCTGTGTCTGGTGGGGCCGGAGGAAACGCCCGGGTGTCATCACTGCGAGGACCACCCTGAGGACATGGTGGAACACACAGTGGGAGAATGCCCTGCGTAGGCTGAGCACCGCCGTGCCCTCAGGGAAGTGATCGGCGATGGCGACCTCTCGCGTCCGGGCCTAGTGCAGGCCATGATGCGGAGCGAGGGGGACTGGGATGCCGTCTCCTCCTTTTGCGAAGCAGTCATGCTAGCTAAGGAGGAGGCGGGACGCGTGAGGCAGCGAAGCGCTGCCTCCTCGCAACCCAGCCATCGCGAAGGACACACCGGGCGTCGGGGATCGCAGGATTGGACCGATGCCGATTCGGAGTCGCGGAGAACCTAAACGGGTAACCGGGGCTCCGGCTCGACGTGCAGGAGAAGGAATGGGGTGGTTTTTAGTCAGTAAGAGTCAATGATTATAATGATGATGATGATACGATGATTTTCCCCCCTTAAAAAAAAAATCGTCGCATGGCAGCCAAGATTTGTTGCAAATTTTATAATAATCATCTTTCGGAAAAATTTCAGCCCCTTCAACTCGGATATGGATCGAGAGGGGGCTGCGAGGATGCCGTGCATGCGTTGTCGACCTACCTGAATTCTAGGAAAGGTAATATCATCCTGAAGATTGACATTAAGAATGCCTACAATTCGGTCAATAGGGATACTTTTTTTGACAGAAGTTAAAAAGGAAAAACCCCAAATTTTCAGTTTTCTCTGGCAATGGAATAGACACCCTACCAAATTATTATATCAGGACAACCTTTTTGCCGTTGGCTATCAACAAGGCAATTCCCTTGGAGCAGTGATTTTTAGCCTGGCTATTAATCCTATTATTCGACAGCTAAATTCCAAATTTAATGTTTGGTACCTCGATGACGGTACCCTGGGAGGCGATGCGGATACAGTATTAAATGAAATCGTATTTTTAAAAAACGAACTTCATGCTATTGGCCTTGACTAAAGTCAAAGTCAAAGCATTTATTTCAATTAAACCATAATTTGGTACTTTTGAAACGTCAACAAATACAAAATTAATAATTATGGTCTGTCAGTCAGTCCGTCAGTGAAGCAGGGTGAAGCTAGGTGCTAATTCCAAAATGTAGATTCGAATGCAGAAGAACGAGCAAGATACTCCATTCGTTACTCTTTTAAAAAAAGTATGTTCTACAATGTATCTGATAAATATTGCAATACTGTACGCATATGTAAATCTTTATTCATAATAATAAATAAATAAATCAAATTATTCATAATAACAATGGCCAACATAGGTAAAAATATCTTAGTTAACTCGTCGAGTACCGGTTTTGTAGACACAATTATAGAACAATAGGTTGCGGTCACCGGTGACCGCTTGGTGTTTGACAGTTTAAGCGACAAGATCTTAAAACTAATATGCCTATACTAGGAATATTCAAACTCAAACTCAAACTCAAAAGCATTTATTTCAATTAAACCATAATTTGGTACTTTTGAAATGTCAACAAATATGAAATATGTAATAGTCTGTCAGTCTGTCCGTCAGTAAAGCTAGGCTATTCCTGTGTCACAGGCGACAGGAGCTCTGGAATTATGTTAATGATGAGACAAGTTATTTATAGTTTAAACAAAATATTTAACACAATTTTCAGTAGTAAGATAAAATTGCTTTTAAATATACTAAATAAATATATTATTATGTATATACATATATACCTATATAACATCACACCTTTTATTATTCCCTGAAGGGGAATAAAAAGTTGTACCTACATAAGTTATTTATTAATAATCAATAACATATACACTTAAATAAACCATGTAAGCTATATTTAGAACTACCTCTAGATAAAATTACACTCTATGCTGTCGAGTATTTTGAAGCGGCTGCAGAAACACAAAAATCTGGGTTAGAGTCCATCTG